GGGGGGGGGGGGGGGGGGGGGGGGGGGGGTTGTCTCTCTCCTGAACATCTAACCATCTGGCAGTTTCCAGCCCCTCCCTTACTGTTCCCCATCCCGTGGACGTGGCGGTATTCTCTCCCTGGGAGCAGCTTAATGACGCTTTGTCCGTGAGGCTGCGGGTTCACCAGCAGACATTCACTCGGCAAGCCTGTCCTCAAGGCCAGCCTTCTCTAGCATTCCGGCCAGCAGAATAAATCCATCCTGGTCCCTGCCGTGGGTATGCTCATGCCCCCAGAGGCCCCAACCATGTTGGATCTGGGCTCCTTAGGTGACGCTGGAGAAAGTGGAGGAGGGATAGTGCTATAAAGTCACCGGGGCTTAGCTTAGAGTCCCACCTCTTTGGGCATAGGGGAAATCATCCGCGGAATGAGGGCGAACGTCAGTTCCTAAGTCCCCGGGATCATCGTGAGGATTACACGAGACAAGGCCCGAGATGTCCACAGCTGGCACAGTCCAAAGCTGGCGCTCAAGGATCCTGGCCACTTCCGCGACCAAAGGCACACACTCAGTCGCGAACCCAGTCTCGGGGGTTCCTCTGGCGACGCCGTCCGGCTCCGGGCAGAGGGTGGGGATTCCAGGTCTCCAGGTGCGGAGGGGGTTCTGCGAGCTCTGAAGAGGGGGCGCCGGGCCACAGGGAAGCGCTAGGCTCTGGGCCGGGGCGGTCAGAGGCAGCCTGTAACTATGCGCGACGCCAGTTAAATTCGAATTCCAGATAAAGAGTGGGTACTTTTTAGCCTAACTCGGTCCTGCGCAACGACTGGGCGTCCCGCCTTCTACCTGGCAACACTACCCTGGGCAGGAGGGGCCTGGGGAGGGGTGGGGCGGGGGGCGGGGAGCAGGGGTGCAGAGGCGAGAGGGCGGGGGCAGGGGTGGGCACGGCCGCTCGCTCTACTGGGGGTGGGGGTTCAGGTGGCCTCCAGGCGGCGCGCGGAGCCTCGCTGCATCCCCCGCAGCCTGCGCTCGCCGCTCTGCTCCAGCTCCAGCCAGTGCTGCGCCTCCAGCAGCGCCTGCGGGACCGCGGGGGCGTCGGCGCGGGCAGCTCCGCTCCCCACGGCCTCCCGGCCCCTCACCCGCCCGCCGGGCCCC